TTTAGTTTTGATTTTGCGTTCAGTCCCGTGGTTATATACTTTTGTTTTATGTCAACAAATATGATGTGGTGCAGTGCATCAGTTTAAAATATTCCTTTTCACTCTTGCTTAGCTAATCATAAACTGTAGAGACTTTAGAGAGCTAACATAGCATCCTACTGTCCCGCCCTCTCTGAAGAATGGATTCAGTCAATGAGAGGGGTGACCTGGCCAGGGGGCTTATGTGTGTTTATGTCAATTTGTATCTTGTGAATTTATATTGTGTGTGTGTGACTAATTTAATGGAGCGTATGTCACCATAGTCAAGGTCCCGCCTACACACACACACACACACACACACACACACACACACACACACACATTCCAGTGTGGGAATGACAGATTTACAAGACATACCAGTGACCACATGTACTGCAACCTGAAAAATGACTGTGTGTGTGTCACCCGTGTTAATCAATCACTCACTTCAGACCCTGAACTTTGGACATGAGTAGAGGAAATAAATGAGAAGATGGAAGGAGGGGCAAGAATAAGGTCAGGAGAGATGAAAACACCGAATGTCTGCCTAGGCAAAGGTGGTTATATTCAGTTTGTCAGCAGGATTAAGGAATAACTGCTGGTCTGATTTCCTTGGAACTTGGTGGACGGTTATTGCATAGGCAGAATAAGTAGTCATTTAAACACAATATGAGGAGAATAGCTTTGAGAAAGAAAGATATTCAGCTAATCAGCATGTGAAATTCCTGACCAACATTTCAGTTAAACATTTAATTGTTGACCAAATTGGTCTTTTATTATGACCATTTGTAATATAAAATCATTCTATCCAGCATGTTGGTTTTTGGGGTCAGTATGAAGAACAAAATGCACACAGCCACATACGTACACGGTTCCTGTAGCTCACAGACAAACCCTCCCTTGGTTCTGCTTTGGTGGTTAGAGATGTGTCGTGACACATGAGATGAGGAAAACACTTAAAAAACGAGCTCCAATCACCATTAATACAAATGAAATACTTAGACGGTACATCCAGAGAAGGAAAGTTGTCTAGATTCAGTGTAGATTTTATTGGAGGTGAAGGTTTAGGAATCCATTACTTACCACTAAGGTAAAAATCCCTCAGAGATTTACCCACTGGCAATCCTAAATAGTTAACAGCAAACATCTGCATTATGAATTTAACTCCCTATAAATGTTTTACAATGTCCAGATTGTCATTAAAGCTGGTATGTGAAAAATGTGATTACTCAGAAAAAACTTACTGTAAGTAAAATTGCCGTAATTATAAGGGCTCTCAATAGATAAATAATTAATCTCACATTTTTAAATTTATTAATGGTGATTCAAAGTTTGTTTTTCTTTTAAAGACTAAATCTTATGAATTAACGAGTAATCACTTCAGAAAGCGTGTATTTTACACACTGTTTAATTGTATTCATTTAAGCACAAAATTACACACATGTGATCACCTTGGAGGCAGAATTCCACAGGTTGGAACGTGTTGAACCAGCGACTCTTCCTGCCGTCCTTGTGCACTTTGCTCTCAACTCTCCATCATTTGACGGCTTGAGGTGCCAACATCTACACCTACGCTGTAGTAAACAAAGTTGCGTTTACTGCCCTAAAATATTTTATTGTGTTAATTTCAGCCAGAATAATCTCAGATTAACGCGTTGACTTTGACAGTCCTAATAGTTCTACATTAAACTAGTGGATTTCCATGTACACTAACACGGCTCTGAATATCTATCCTGAGAATGAGAGTTCATGGTCTGTAGGTCAGATGGCTCTTTGATGTGATTAAACCATGCGGTTCACATCAGATTTGAAGCAATAAATTATTTTTGAATGCTTCACAAAACCCTGACTGGGCAGCATTTATCTTTCCGTATCTATCCTTCTGTCTTTTTTATTTTTAAAGTTAATATCTTCCAACACTATCTCTCGTTTTTCATGGCAGTAATAATGAAAGAGATGTTCCTTTGATAATAAAGACACCATGTGATCCAAAGGAAGGAGAGAAGGAACAAAGGAGAAACAGGAAGGGGGTGCGGGGGTGGTTGGGGGTCTGACAATCGCATTAACCAGGCTGCATGGTTTCTTTTTTGGAGAGAATGATGTGTCTCTATCTTTGTTTGTATGTGTGATCCAGTGTGACGCTCCATATGTTTGTGTGTGGGAAGCAGAGAAAGATATTAGCTAGTTCTTCATTCACTTGCTAATGGGATTTCTCTCTATACACAACACACACACACATACACACACACACATACGTACGTACATACATACATACACAAGCACATGCACACTCCCACAGGAAAAGACCTTGAATGTCAGATACCATCTGTTCCATCTCTTTCACTTTCTGTAAAAGAATTTAGGTTTTACCTCACAAATTCCATAGCACATAAATCCAGAGATAATTTACACACATGACAGTACACACAATGTGTGTGAGTGTGTGTTAAAAGTTTGTTTTGGCAGGAGTGAAGCATAACAAATAAGATATTGGAGAGGAAGCCGAAGATAATGGTCTTTTATTTACATAACACAATTTTGGCTGTTTTTTAATCTGGCTGCGTTTTTATCAAGAAGCTCCGTACTGTAACATGAATGCACATAATGCTTCAAACGGAACAGACATTTTCTTTGTTTTCAGTGGCGAATGAACAACATAACTTTTGCTACAACACATCTTGTTGAATTGAAATGTGATGAAGATATGTCGACCCAAAAGCACAGAACATGCCGCTTAAAATATTGTGGGAGAAAAAAAGAAACTAGATAATAAGGGCGTAAGTCAGTGTTTGCTAAGGGAAACGGAGCATCAGGTTTGACCTGCATATAGATCTATTTTCTGTGTTAGTTGTTAGCTATGTTAACTGTAATTGATGAAAGCGATCGGATAAATGATTCTTCCGGCGTTGCCACCACCCTCTGGACTGGAGTGAGCCTCACCCTGTTTGCATATATGGGAGACAGGACCTACAGGACCTACATATTTATATTGAATTGTTATACCAGGCAATGACTTTAAGCCTTTTTCTGGCCACTGATGTATTTATTTAGCATTTCTTCCTCTTCTTTGACAAAAGTATTTGCTGTAAAAATTGTAAATAGTAATATTAAATTCCTCAAACTTTGCACATTATTCAACAATTTTAAATGATTTGCAAATCATCAATATAATATGCAGGGATGGTTATACAATTAACTTATTTCTAACCCTTTTTCCTTTACTGCCTTTTTAATTGAGTTAATTAATTTATTCTTCTTTCTGGATCGCTAGATTGCAGACATTAAATTCATTTCCATTTGTGATGCGGTTTTGTGCTACAGCAAGTGGAGTAACAGCTGAAAATCTTGCATTTTAATGTGCACGGATCATTTGGTTTGGAGGTGAAGTCCTGTGCTTCATTAATCACACATCGTGAGTAAAATCGTCTCAATAAGAGTGGAAATAAAGTAAAGAAAAGCAGTGAAACAACAGGGAGGAAAGCACATTGTTGAATCACACACTAAAAAGGGAAAAGATATTTGATGAGAATGTAGAAAAGCAGCAGATCATATATGGATTGGTAAGAGAGGGAGAGAGCATGTTCTGGAGTGAAGCACATTTGGTTGAGCGAAAAGGTTGACCCGAATAGCGAAAAGTATATGTGCATAACTTTATAAGTTATATTTGAAAGTTAAATTGGAGGAGGGGGGGAAATGGAAATATAGAAAGATTAAAGCGTAGTCCATTGCAGGCCGTCGACCGGTTACTTAGCTGAACATTTGTTTTTATAGTGGAACAAATTACCAAAGAAAATGCTCTCTGCTCTCTCGCTAGCTAACGCTACAACATTCTACTATCCACTTTCCACTAATAGTCCTCTATTCAATACATCAATATCAGATCCCCTCCATTGATGTCATGTGTTTGCCAAAATGTAACTAAAGTCCTGCAGCAAAGCGCAAATTAAAAAGCCAGGGTTAAGAACAAAACTAAGAAATACAATTGAGCCAAAGGCAATATGAAAAGGCGATGGTGAGATGGTGAATACAATAAAGTAGGTCCATGACAAAATATAAAAGCAAAGTGTTGTTCTTTTAAGAAATCAGGTAAATTGAAATACGGAGAGTAAAAAAGATACGGACATATTGAGACGTAAGATGAGGCCGCGGACGGGTTGCAAGAATACAGAATTGAAGGAAGTAATTTATGTGAATGTTGGTGCACGTTGTGCTGAAAATACAAGGTTTCCTTCCGTGCGAAAGGCAGAAGGTCTTTGTAGGGTGGGAAGACGGATGGAAGTGAATATAGATAAAAAGGAAAGGTGGTATAGAAAAAGGAAATGAAGCACAGAGACAGGGAGTAGATGTTAGGAGACGGAGGGGAGAGGGAAGCATGTGACACAAGGTCGAGGAGGAAGATACGGATAAAAAGAAAACAAATGTTTGCTGTAGGAAAGACAAAGGCGAAGGAAGGAAGAAGAGGGATTCAGGTTGTGTAGCAACTCCTTCCACATAGCCCGCTCAAAGCGGCGCTCTTTGGCCGTGATGCTTGGTCTGTATAAAAGGCACCGACATGGAATGGGGGTGGGGGGGTGGGTGGGGGTATTGTCGCTACGCCACGAAGCAATGCAGGTAGTTCCAGATCCTTTGTGACTTGGTTTAAAAGAAGAAAAATACTTCTTTGAAGTGGGAGCTTTATAACCTTTCAATAAGACTTGATTATGTTCCGCCCCAGATGCTTTATGCCAGACATCAAAGATAGGGGGTCTTCAAACTTAAAATGTAATTTTTACAGTCACTTATTCTGGGTTGTCCTGGTACTTTCTTACTAGGTGTGAGAACTTACACTAAAATGGCCAGATCTGCTTCACCTAAAATATTTATATATATAATACTAAAATGTTGGAAAAGCATTTCCGTTTTGGGAATTTTTGCAGTATTGACAGCAATGAAGATCTTGAATGATTGTGATAACGTCGACGCTCTTCTTTGTGTTTCTGCAGGCTCACTGGCTTCCAGGTTCCTACACCGGTCACCAGCACGGGAAATGTCTTCTCTTTGAGGTTGACCAGTGACTTTGCCGTCTCTGCGCATGGCTTCAAGCTCAACTACGAAGGTCAGTCCGTGTCTTCTTGTTTGTTTGTCTGTGTGGTACTTGAGAATGTACGGCCTGTGCTTTAATGTGGACATCTAAGACAAGTCCACAGCCCACATACTGTGGGTTAGAGCCGATCAGGCCATCAGACGGTTAATCTCCATTGGTTGAGCCCTCGCTTTGCTACAGAATCTGTTGAGCAGGTGCACTGTGTGTTGTTTAGCCGGAGAAACCCCCGATGATATTTGCTGTGAACATTATACTAACACTTTAATTCCCCATATTTAGTCTTTTTAAGATGGATTAGGATTTGATAAATCGGTTTAAACAAGCCATGATTTTAGAATTGTAAATTAATATAAAGATATTTTAAAGTTGTTGTGAATGCAATTAGAATTTCTCCAATGTAGGCTTGTTTTATTTTATTTTAATTGAACTCTGCATGATGATTGTGCCATTGGGTTTCTGTTCCTTTACTGGCGTCCTCAAGTGTTGTTTTACGTTACAGACATCACATCACGTACATGATTTATTCTCAATTCTTTTGTCAGGCTATTCGGATTCTGAAGGTTTTCATAGAAAACTCAATCCCCTGCCTGACGCTCGGTAAAGGACTTCCTAATGGGTGACAAGTCCATTCCTTTTCAACATGGCAGGCTGTTGAATCCACAGAGAGAAAGACGAAATATAAAGGGGGCATAATAGGCTTGCAGGGACGTTCTGACGGACAGACCTTTTCTCGGTGACACATGGGATTTAGTAAATTTGAGAAAAATTCATATTTGAAATGTGTTCTTGTTACATTTGTTTTTCTACAAAGGAGATTAAACATAAAGCATCCCCTCTTGCCCCCCCCTTTGGGCTCTGAGTAAACATGGCGGTACCATTTCAACAGATGAAAGAAGAGATATGAATAGTTGAAGTGATGGTTAAAATTAGAACTATGTGAATCAGCACCATGTCTTGTGTGCATTAACGTTTTCAGATTGGATTTAGATTAGAAAAACTTTGATGTCCTCAATGAGGCAGTTTGTTCCGGAGCATAAAACAGAGGAGCATAAAATTGTCCACCGGAGGCGCACACACGATACTGTGCAAGTCAACAAAACAAATGAGTACACAATTATGTAGCCCCCTGCTGTGACGTGTTGAGATGTGATTTAAATGGACACACTGCAAGAAATGAATTACTGCAATAGATGATAATGCATTAATTATTAGGTTTAACAAACTGCAATGGCATTACACATTTTTTTGATTAACATTATCATGAATTACTCATTGTTAAACATGTGAATACTCTGTTTGCAATGCGTTTATTAAAGTGTAGAGTAAACAGGTGGTGTATGATACGCAGTTAAGGGCAGTCTAGGGAGTCGAACCTTTTCAGGCTTTCCTGCAAACATGAAAACGGCCTGTTCAAAAGAACTACAGCGGCTGTCCTATTCAATGATTATTGAATATGTTTTTGCACCAATCTGCACACCAACAGATGACAGCGTGATCACATTCATATGCAAACATTGACACTCACAGTGTTGGTCACGGCCACTCGCTGTGGAAAATGGCTGCTTTAACGGCCTCTGTGTGTGCATCCCGAGGAGGGCCTTGTTGCTCGTGTGGATGTAGGTCGGATGGTCGCCGTGTGTTCAGTCTGTTGGTACGTGTGTCTGGTGGGCCGCATAATGACCGTATCCCTGATTGCAAAGTGCTTTGGTGAAAGTCTGCACACATGCTGCATCGGAGTTTGTGTGCGCATAGCTGTGTGTGTGTGTGTTTGTGCTACTTGTACGTCCAAGCGGTTGTCCCAGATTTATTCACTGGCACTAGTTTCAACTTCCTACTTGGCCCTTGCTTATTCTGTATATCTTTGGGTTTGTGTGTATGTTTCTGTGTCTGTTTGCGACAGAGAAAGGGTTTTGCTCCGGGGGATTTATCTAAAGAGTTTGCTCTTTCCCGACACATTCAGCTATTTCACTTCCTCTGTGTGAGTGAGAAAGGTTGAGCGTACTCACATGTATGTAACGGCATGCTGACGATCTATCCGTCTGTCTTTCTATATTTGTCATCACATAATATCCGAAACACGCAGCTTGGCAGTGAGTTTATAAAGAGAGGAGGAGATTTTCTCAGAAGCAACGATCCACCCGGGTTTGAACAGTTTTTGGCAAGTCATCTCTACTCCATGTAATCCCTCTGCCTAATCTCTTCCTCAAGCTAATTCAGGTTTTAGATTTCTGCAGGTATCGCCTTAGCATTGTCAAAACACATTTTTAGAAAATATTATATTTACCGTTAAAAGGACAAAGTAAGGATTTGCACATCTATACGGACCTCCAAAACCACTAGTTAATCTGGTAACACACACACACACAATATCTACACATGTTACTAATATAAAAGACTTCTCCCTCCATATGCAAAGTCCCCTTGGATCTGCAATTTTATTATGCATACATTATAATCCAAACATTTATTAATCTGACTTAATTTCTAGTAATTGCTTTAGAATTGTATCTATGATCCATAATCAAGATCACAACCGAACGTGTCGCAAAAGGAGAGAAAAAAGCAAATGAATGTGGAAGGAGGTCGGAGTCGTTGACGTTAAAATGAGCCACGTCATTTCGGCAGCTGGCGAGGAACCCTGGTGAAAATCTGGCCGCTGAGTTATTCCTGGCACGTCAGACCAGCAGGCGTCCCTGGGGAACTCCCTGAAGATGCTGGACGGCTCACCTGTGCCGTGAATGCCCTGAGACTCAGAATCCCACGAGGAGCTCGTGGACGTGCTTTAGATGGAGTACCGCGCGGTATTTTTTTTTTTTCATAAAACAAGGTACGAGAAACATGTTGATTCCTCGATACGGTGTGATTGGTGGGATACACTGATGTTATCCTTGAAATGTTATCTTCTTCCTCTGAAGACCGTCAGGTCATTACTAATTCATGCACCAGCACATGCTGTGCAGCATGTATTGATGCATGTGTGAGTGTATCTGTGTCTAAATGCTGCGATAATCTATGATTCTGTCTCATCAGCACAACATCAAAGTGCCTCCAACGTCATGCTAAATAATATATATTGGTCTCTTCTGTCTCGTTTCACACACACACACACACACACACACACTTTCTCGTCATTGTTGAAGAGTTTTTAATTTTATTCCCTCTTACTCCTCCATTTGTATCTGCCCAACCGTGTTCAGTTTTATGAATGTTTTTTGTTACAATTTCACCTTTTAGAATTACAAAAACTCAACATCAGAGATAATAGGTTTCATATCTGCTTCCTCTAGAGAAACTATATAAGTACATCTTGAGGGCATTTTGATTTGAGAACAAGAACTATCACTCATCGGCCTCCTCGGAAACATGGACCAGAGAACCTGCACTTCACTCTTGGACATGCAGCCAGGGGACCAACGTGTCAGCAGCACAACAATTTCACTTCCCTCCCGTAATGCCTGAGCTCTCGTCACCACCTGCTGTTTTTCCTCTTCCTCTCTGCACTTATATTGGCTCCACTGCTTGTTTTTCTGTAACAGTGATACACTTTTTACATTCATTTACACAAACCACGGAGAGTTTACGTCATTCCTCAGGAGAAGGCGTAAACAACGACTATTAAAAATAGAAGAAGAAGAAAGAAGAAACAACACATTCAATTGAAAATGGTTTAAGGTGAACAACACACTCAAAAATGTTTACTTCCTCAAACAATCAGGACAAAATAAAGCCGGAGGTTCACACATACTCTATTATATTAAACACAGATCAAAGTCCGACGCATTACATTCTGTTTTATGAAAGCAACTTTACTTTAAAGCGGCAATCCTTGAGATTTTAGTCCTGTTCGATTTAGATTTTATTATTAATCATTTAAAATATTGGACACATACTATAATTTAGAGTATTTTGGTTGATACATCGGGGATTGTGAAGTGCCGACGGGGAATGAAAGAAGATAAATGGAGGAATTCTTATGATCGGTTCACTCCTTAACCTTCCTCCTTTTGGGGGGTTTGAAATTGTTTTTGCAAACAAACAGGTCGTTGCTGGCTTCTGGGAGCTCTCAGTGGCCAGATGTCACTTAAATCAATAGACCCTTCTCCATCTGGGCATTTACCCATCAGTTCCACACAATATCATCAAGAGTGTTACTCACTCACAGATGTTTGCGGCCAATCCAGTGACCTTCTGGGCCGTGATTTGGATTTCCTAGGAGAGAGCTAGTAGAAATATTCAGTGTGTGTGTGTGTGTGTGTGTGTGTGTGTATATATACATATATATATATACATATATATACGCTCATTGCTTCCCCCGGGTCCATCAAAACAACCTTCTTTAATTTTGTCGAGGAACTGTTTCTGTCAGAAAGGGATTTGAACTTCTCCCACATAGACGTCAGTAAACACACATCTGTTGTTCGGAAAGAACAATTTTCATCTCCTTCCTCAATTATGTGTCGGGCCTGAGCGCTATCCGTCAGCCACGGGAGAAAACACGAGGCAACAACATTCGATCCTCACGGTGATGAGTCTGATCACACTGCTGCATGCGTGGCCACTGAAACCAGCTCCTCGGGGGGAAACCCTTCATCGAGTATCACATTTGAACGATCGTGCAGCTGATTGGCAATGTTCCAGAATAAATTGAACCATAGGAGCCTGCATTCCGGTTTGAAAAGCCTTTGCATTCACGTATAGGAGGCGGCCATTAACGGAGCGTTCCACCATTTTTGTTTCTCTTTGCCTCTGATCTGATCGCTTATCAGCGCTGATTGATTTTGACTCCAGTCTTTTTGACTTATACATGATCTGAGTGTAAAAGTCAAGTTTGTGTGCACATCCTCGCATCTGAGCGCATACATCAATGATGTACATTTCACGACAGTGTTTGTGTGTGTGTGTGTGTGTGTGTGTGTGTGTGTGTGTGTGTGTGTGTTTGTGCGTCCACGTGTGTACGGGTATGTGATTGAGGTTCTGGCTGTGGCTTCTCTGATCTTTATCAAAGAGACCTG